TCCTCGGTTCCTTTTGGTTGTGGTGTTTATAAGAAAGTCTTTCTTAATCAGTGAATAGCATGACTTAATAAAATAAATCTGCAGAAAGATTACTTTTGCTTCTTACAGATTCTAAGGTAAGAAGTACTCCAGTAACTATCAGGAATTGCATGCATCAACTAATTTTTACTTAAGGGTTCTGGTATATATCCAGATGTAGGACATATGAATAACAAAGGATTTAAGAGTGCATCACTTGGCGCACGTCATGGATTCAACCCTGCTGCAGACAAAAGTCTGGTATAAGTGGAGAAGGGTAGATGGATCCACTGAGTCTTGAACCGTGTGCCACAGCCCCGGGGGATTTCCCGGTTATAGAAAAAATGACAAAGGATTTAAGATTTCTTGGAATGGATCCACAGTAAGGCATGTAAACTATACAAATGGATGTTCCACAGATTAGATACATGCCCTTTCAAGCAGAAGCATCAGCTGTATTGCAAATATATGATCGTTTTTTTTTTTAAAATTGTGTGGATAAAGAATGGCAAATATATGTTCATGCTAAATTTATGATCACACTTCCGTTAAGCAAATACACAAAATTTCAAAGCCATTACTAATCCACGGAAAGAGTACAACAACAACAACACAGTGAGATCCCACAAGTGGGGTCTGGGGAGGGTAGTGTGTACGCAGACCTTACCCCTACTCCGGAGGAGTAGAGAGGCTGTTTCCGGTAGACCCTCGGCACAAGAAGGAAAGAGACAGTGTATCAGTAACAGCAACGGAATCCAGAAAGATAACACCAACAACACAATAACCAGAAAATAGAGAGCAAAGTAGTAACACTAAGCAGTAACAATCCATGGAAAGAGTAAAAACAAATATATTTATAACTGAATAGGACAAGGTTGACAGGAAGCCAGAAATTTCTCAAAATAACTAGTAATAGAATCAAGAAAGGAACTCACATGGTATATCTCCAAATGCGCAGGAAAAGTAGACAATTTCTTCTTGCCAGGCCGAACAGTTTTTACAACACGATCACATCGGACTAAAAGGTTCTTCTTAAGCAGAATGTTGGCAACATCTTCTGGTTCCAAACTTCTATCCAACTCGAGTATGTCTTTCAGTTCTAAATGATTTCTCACAAAACTAACAAAATCTTTTCCTCTGAAATACTCTACCCGTGTTTCCTGTAGAACAGCCCAACGAGACACCAAGTCCTTATGATCTCTAACTTTCTCGGCAAATAGCTGGAAGAAATCCTTTTTCGCAGCTTGCTTCTGAAACTCAAAGTAAACAGCATGAGTATGAGCATCATAAAATAAAAAGGGCAGAAATAGCAGCAGGAGGAGAGCGGACAAAGCTGAGCATGTCTCAGTATATTCGATGACAAGAACCTTTATTTTTTTATCTTGTTTTTCAAGGGTGCCAATATGGTTAAGTTATCTGTCCACTAATAGTGTAGTTCAGCAAGATGATCAAAAGTGAAACTACCCACAACCCAAAAAAAAAAAAACAGAAAAAGAGAAGGTACCCTATAGTGCTAGTCCTAATTAGTTCATTTCAAGGATTTAAGATAAATCCAATAGATTTAGCAAACTAAATAGAGGGGAACGAATCACGCATTAACTGCACAGGACAAAAATGAATCCCGACTACCCAGTTAGAAAAACAATTCAACATGTGCCAACTATCATTCAATACTTAGTCCAATGCAAGTTTAGCAAATACCTTTGCAAATTCCTCTCATCTCCCAAAAAAGGGCACAATATCGTCTACATTCAGTTGACTATATAAAGTTAATGATCCAAGAAAGCAAAAGTTTGTTTTCAATCCCTAGAAATATATTTGCAATGTTCACACTTCCAGCTAGAGGAAATGGATACCCTCTATCACACACTAGCCGAAATAATACCAAAATTTTAAGTTCAAAATCTCTTTGTCGCAATGACTTAACTACAACTACGTCTCAACCCCAAACAAGTTAAGGTCGGCTAGACGAATCCTCATAGACCATGTTACACCATTTATTTTAAACTCATCTCATGCCAATCAAAATCACTAACTCTCAATCAATTTCACAAATTCATCGAGGAAAATGCAAGAAAATATTCAATTAAAATTTTGATCGGATTATGATCTTTAAAACCTCCTTGTTATACAATTCAAATTACTTCCTAAAATAAAATATTTTTCACAAACTCTTTTGGGAAATGTAAGAAAACCATTTTTTTTGACTATTGTGTCTGGGCCAGCTTGTGCGCACCACTAATATTCTACCGGCTACCGGCTACCTCCCACCAACACACGTACCCCATAACTCTGCGCAAATTAAACAGACCCATTTTCCAAAAAGACCATATCTTTGTAAGGATTTGGAACCCTGAGACGTTTGGTCCTACTGCAAGCAATTCAAATTACCTCCTAAAAACAAGATTTTTTTTTTTCTCTCACAAATTCTTTGATGGAAATGCAAGAAAAATCCAAATTGAGAAATCCAGTTTCCATAAACCCGTCACTTGGACATGATTTTAAACCCTAGGAATTATGAGTCCCGTGCATACAATTCAAAATGACTCCGTAAAACAAGATCATGTACGCAAATTAATTCCAATTAAACAAACCCATTTCCCCCCAAAAAAAGAAATCAAACAAACAAAAAAAACTAAAAATTGGATATATTTATGCAATAAATTTGGATTAAATTAGAGTGGAATTACCCTAGAAGGAGAATAGGTGTTGGATGCGACAGCTTGTGATCTCCTTACCTTTTTCTTCTCTGCTCCCCCTGCTTTCTTCATCTCTGTCCCTCTCCCTCTGTCACTGTGTGTGTGTGTGTTTTTCCCTTCCTCTGATCCTCTTGTGAATGAGTGTGTGTGTGTGTGTGTGTGTGTTTCTCTTCCTCTTGTCTCTGCGGTTTCCTTAGATTTCTTCTCTTTGTTCAGGTGGTCGTTTGAGGGTATAGTAGAAATAAATAAAAGCATTTTTATCATGTTGTAACGCTTACTCTTGGGTTTGGGTCGATACTCGACAGATTTACAATTTGGACTGTGTGACTTTGTTTTTGGATTACACTTTAAATTCTGTCCCGTTAATAAAATTACTAAGAAAATATTTTACATGAATTAATTAATATAAAACAAATATTTAAAGTTAAGTGAAAAAGAATATTTAAAAGTTAACCATGTGTGAGCTTTCTTTCCTAAGTTTATGTTTTGAGTATAGTTTTAGCACAACTTTTTAACTTACTTTTGGAGGATATTTTTCATGATGAAAATTATTTATAAAATTTTATTGAAGAAATTTCTTTTCGATGTTTGATAACGTTGACTTGTAAAAGATAGTGTACTCAAGAAAAATATTTTACAAAAGAAAATCAACTATCATTGTTTGTAGGCATAAGTTATCCTTTACGACAAATCAAGATGTTCGATTAGAAAAGTCAGCCTCATACATGATGCTAGTGGAAGGTAATCGATACACCTATGAAGAATAACTAAGGTGTATTGTTTGTTCGGACACTATTATTATTCAAATAAAAAAGTCTTATCGATAGAGGACAAACTTAAAATGTATTTTGGTCATTTTAAGAATACAATAATGATCACCTGTTATTCTTTCTTAAATAAATAGCAATCGGTGCACAAAGTATTCCGCGTTCACGTCCGGGAAAAGGTCGCATCCTAAAGGGTATGATGTAGACAGTCAACCCCACAGGAACTCTATTTCGTAGTTGAGGTGAAACTTTGAAAACCACAGTATATCAACCTCATAATGTATGATGGCCATATGCAGTCTGTACATTCAAGATATTGTGGTCATATGTGAAATTGTGTGCTGAGCTCGTTAAATAATTCTGATTAAGTAGTTTAAGCAACTTTTAAGTACTACCTCAAAGTGTCTTGAATAAGTAGACAGAAGGTGTAGAGATTAATTGTGGGGAAGCACTGGGGAGAAGGGGAAGATAGCAATGGTATCATGGGAAAGAGTATGTGTTCCAAAGAAATATGGAGGGTTAAACATTAAAAGTTGCACAAAATAGAATGTGGCCTTTGTTGGCAAGCTTGTTTGGCAATTGGCAAGAAAGAAAGATATTCAGTGGGTTAAATGGGTTCATGGTATTTATATGAAAGACAATCAGAATTTCTGGACTCATGAACCATCACAAGATAGTAGCTCGTATTGGAGGAAATTACATGCACTTAAGGCTAGCATGACAGGATGGTACCAAAATGGCTCTTATTGTTTAACAACAATGGAAAATATTCAGTTACCAAGAGCTACAATGCTCTATTGGGAAATATGCAAAGACTGAAAGTGGCAGAATTGATACTGAGCTCATTATTGCTTCCACGACATAGGTTCATAATAACAACAACAACAAACCCAGTATAATCCCACTAGTGGGGTCTGGGGAGGGTAGTGTATACGCAGACCTTACCCATACCATGAGATAGAGAGGTTGTTTCCAATAAACGCTCGGCATCCTTCCCTCCAAGAACTCCCCACCTTGCTCTTGGGGTGACTCGAACTCACAACCTCTTGGTTGGAAGTGGTTGGTTAATCAAGACAAATTACTCACAAAAGAAAAACTTAGTCGATTACAGGTTCCTATTAACTCCAAGATATGTGGTATATGTAAAGATGATAAAGAGGAGACTCAGAAACATCTTTTCTCGGAGTGTGAATAGTCATAAAAGTTGCAGGATCGACTGAAATTCGCATGGTAAAATAAAAATTCAGGTATATACTTACCGGTATGAGGTGCTTACACCAAATTATGTTACTACACCATGGTAAATTGCTTTAGTGAGATGAGAATGCATGTAATTCACCATAGTTAAGTGCTTGAAGTCCATGTGTAAAACATATGTCATGCATCTATTGATTTGGTGTGAATACCCAATACCAGATAAGTTTTTACCAATCATTAATAGGAAGCCCGTAATCTAAGTCTCAATCAGAGACGAGCTCGGGCTAAAGTGGGCCAAGTGTCACGTGGGCTGCAATACTCAAGTGGACTGATCCAGATACGGCCCAACACTGCAAGAAAAGAATTCATTTTCAGCTCAACTGTGTACAACGATCATGTATCCTTGGACAACAAATCACCACATATTCAGTGAGATAAATTATTAAACTATGTTCCACACTTTTTACTAATATAGCTGTGTAGATATTAAAAGGGCCGTCGGTGCACAAAGCATCTCGCGTTCATGCATGATTCGGGGAAGAGCCGCACTTCAGGGGTGTAATACAGGCATCCTACCCTAATGCAATAATCAGGATCAGGGTAGATATTGGTGTTATAAAATCAGTGCCAGCTTAACCATAAAGCAGTTAAAGCTGTTGCTTTAGGCCCCCAAATTTTGGGGCCCCATTTTCTATAATAATGGGCTTATATTTTATTTATTTTTTGGAAAATATTGAGTACTATTTAGAAGAAAATAAAAATTTTCCTATAAAAGAAAAGCCAACATTTTAGCTATGTGAATAAGTGACGGGTTTAAACCTTTACACTCTCTTTCTTGGTTTATGCAAGAGCTACAATATTTCATTTCACCTTTTCCATCAATTTACATACTTTGTTTTATATTCTTTCTTACTTTTTCTAAGATGAACTATTTGTTGTTCAAAACTTCCGATAATTTATATTGCTTCTTACAAACATAGTTAAAATTACTTTCCTTATACTAAATTGTGTCTCATTTTCTGTTATTTCTCACGTTTAAACCTTGCGAGAAATATTTGAAGCAACATTACGAAATTTGAAATTAAGTCTTCAAACTTCTTGAATCTAGTTCTTTCATTCTAACTTTTCAGTATCTTTTTTTATCTTAAATTTGTTATATTTGTTATTTTTACTTCATAGGTATATTTTTTAAATATTTATTAGAATTTGAATATGACAACTAGAAAATATAGATCTTGTTATTCTAAAAAAAAAAAAAGAGAAGAGTTGAAATATACAATCTAAAAAAGGAGATCTTGATAAA